CACACACCAGCTTAACTAATATTTTAAAAGATTGTTTTCAAGAATAACAATTTTTATTTCAGAGATATAAAAAAATATAATCTCAAGTAAGTGTATTTTTTCTTACGTCTCAGGCAGAGTCGGGTAGGCGATAATATGTTTCCAATACATTCTTGCTTTCTTTCAACAATGCTCTAACATTACACGCAAACGGCAACGCAATCTTGCTAAGCTGCATCCTATCTGCACCTCTTCTGCTGCACCTCTGTAATTTTCTGTGGGTCTCTGGAATTGTCAGTCAGCTGTCAACAAACTTAATTCTGGCCATTGCTTCTCAGTCTAATCTTATAATAATAATTGGAAATACTCAACCCACTCTTCCCTATGCAATAAAAATTATTTTGAGTTTCATGCTATTATGGTAACAGCTCCTGTTAAACTCCATATTGTAATGATTTATCGCCTTCCTGGTCAACTGGGCACCTTTATAGATGAGCTATATGGGCTGCTGTCCTCATTATTTGTGGATGGCAGTCCACTTGTAGTCTTTGGTGACTTTGAAATCCATCTGGAGAAGCCTTGCACTGCAGACTTCCACTTCCACTCCTAGCTTCATTCGATCTCAACAACAAATCAGGCAACCAAGCTTGACTTAATTTACACATGTAATTGTATCACAGACAACATTTGGTAAAACCTCTAGACATCTCTGCTCATTTCTTAAGACAATATCTGTCTATACAGGCCAGTGCATACTACCCCTTCTAACCTAAAATGTTGTCCCATGTATTATCATCTTTGCTGTATTTTTGCTGAGCAGTCTTTTGGGTGGCTCACCAATGTACTAGAATTCTCTAATACAAAAAATTAAGTAGGCTTGACCAAAATTTTTGTGGAGAGAAGAATTTATTGAAGATGGTAGTGTAGCAGTTCTTCAGTAGCGATGTTAGCATGCCATCCTTCAAACAATCTTAACCCTTGCAAGAATCTTAGCTTCTCCCAAAGTTCTGTCTATGGGATAGAATGTTATACCTGAAGACAAAAGGGTTGACTGTTAGGATCTCCAGCTGGAGATCCTGCAATCTACAAGACGTTCCTGAGGAATGCTGTTCCTTTGTTATTCTAATGAAATGGACCATTTGGTTCACACCTTTATAGACACAGTTACATTATTTATTTCACAGAATGACCAACTGAACGTTAACCAATCATGTTTTAGCAGCGGCCATTCAACTGAGACTATCAAGTCAGTATAGCCCTGCAGATTGTGAAAGCTGATTCCAAATCATCAGTTCTTATTCTGCTGGATCTATCTGCCACTTTTGACACTGTGAATCATCAGATTCTCCTGTTTACCATCACAGGATCTGCACTCCACTTGTTTGAATCTTATCTCACTGGTAGGTCTTTCAGGGTTTCCTGGGGAGGAGAGGTATCCAAAGA